TGTATGCTTTCATAGCAGGATGTTGGTAGTGATTGCTGACCCTACAGTTCTTGGCTTCCTCGAATGTTAATAACCTATGTTTAGTGTGAAAAGGAAAAAAAAGTTGTTAGATACATTAAAAATAGTGTACAGTGTATTAAATTTCATTAGCATATTTTAAAACATTAATATTTGTGAACTGTATTATCTAATGATGATGTCTCTTGCAGTAAGTACATTTTTGCCTTTGTGATACATGCCAGGCAGAGCTTTGCTGAAAGCTGACAGTCAGATTACAAAAATAGAGCTCCCTTTTCAAATCTCAAGAAAGTATGTAAAGAAATCCACTGAAGATATAATATTACCAAAAGTCAGTTTTCAACATTTTAGATTAATTTATGAGATTTGTTGGTTTGTTGTGCCTGCTCTCAAAAATATCCTTGTACCAAGCCCACATGATTGTGTGGTTTCTAGCTCTGTTAAAATGTTGTGGAGTTTGCTCCTTGGATGTTATTTGAAAATAAATAAATAAAACATACCAGCAAAGTGAAATAATAATAAAAAAGCCTATTCATGTGAAAATAGTCTTGAAAAGAGACAACATATAGTCATTTAACTCCTACTGTTGATTACACCATATACAATTTGGAACTTATAATAGGTCTCACAAATCTTTGGAATGCATTGCCATTTACTTAAAATTTACGTCTCATATAAAGCCTATTGGATGTACAGATTCATTGTTAAACAGTATGTCCTGCCACATGCCAACGCATGCAAAGCATTCATTAGCTTAAGCAAAGTTAACTATGCGATGATGGTGTTTTTTAAAAATTAGAGATCCTTCTTGCAGTTATTTTGTTGAGATGGACGCACACTTTGTTTCATTCAACCCCCTTTCACAGAGAACGAATGTTACTTTAAAGCATGTACAATATCTTTTTCTTGAATTTTGGGAAAGAGCTGTTGCATCGTGAAGCCAGGAGAGAGTCTAAGTTAGAGGCAGGAGGAATTTTTCAAACCCACCACACATAACAAGACTTCCCCATTTTTCTGTCCTCACCGTTGAAACATTGTTGTAACACTTTAAAGTGTCAAATCAATCAAGGCTCTAGGCACACATTTAAAAGTGTACTGCATGTTTTTGCTTTGCACGTTTTAAGAACATTTCTTCAAATTCTGAGAAACAAGTGAATTAAGGCCTACAGCATGAGAAGAGTGTAAAATATATCCATCTTACAGCTTTCAGAAGGCTGCATACATTCTAGGAATATCTAGAAGTTTCATAACTAATGATGATATATTTTCAAAATGACATTAAAGTTTCTGTTTCAGCACTAAAAAGGATGTCATGACTGTTGGATCTCAAATCTGGGGAAAGAGCAAACTCAGTTCTGCCTGCTGCAGGAGTTTTATATCTGCCGTTAATGGATATTATTTTTGTAATGGTGAGAGACGCAATAGCTGAACTGTGCATATCGTAAAGTTTTGCTGTTCCTGTTACATCATTGCACAAGTGAGAGAATTGTTGCAGTTTAGAAAGGAACTAGTTCTAAACTAATTTGTGGTCAGGCAGTTGGACTAGATGACCATTGTAGGTCCCTTCCAACTGAATATATTCTCTTCTACTCTACTCTACTCTACTCTACTCTACTCTACACTGAACTGTGTACTTTCCCCCAAGTTGAGTCTGTTTTGCCCATGACAATTGCTGAGCAATCTCCCTGTCCTTATCTTGACCCATGAGCTTTTAATTATATTTTCTCTCCCCATCCAGCTGAGGAGGGGGAGTGACAGAGTGGCTTTGGTGGGCACCTGGTGTCCAGCGAGGGCTAACCCACCACAGTCCCTTTGGAGAGAAAAAGAATATAAAATTCCTTGAAGCAAACAGAAGCAGATTAGTGTCTCTGTAGCACGGCACAGGACATCTTGGGTTTACTGCTCAAAGGGTTGTTTATACCATCATTGATCTATCTATTTTTATTACCTCTCCAGATCTTATCTCTCCTAAGTACCAGTTATTCATTTTATACTAAACTGCAATGGATTAAAATTCTGGCATATTTCTTAGAACAGAATTGGCTCTTAATGTTTGTTGGAAGTAATGTGGGAACTGAGATTTTTTTTTTTTTTTAAAAAGTAATGCTCTAAATGTGCTTGTGGCAAATGGGAATATGGATCTGACCCTCCTTTAACCAAGAAAAACATTCAGTGAAGGTTTTCCATATCATTGGCAAAAGCTGTCTTCAACCGTGATTGTGACTTGTGGCAGGGAAAGGTCATGGACATCACATGTGAGAACTGTGCAATTAGATCTGCACGTGGGTACTGTCCATCTGTGCAGAAACCTAACAGCATTGCCAGAGGCCTCCATCTCTGCCCCCTGCACAGGGGCATCATGGATGTGTGTGTTCAACAGCGTGTATGTGCTGTGTCTCATTACTTTCATCTGAGCTGCATCTCCCTAGTTTGCAAATGTCTTTTGTGGCTTTGTCAAACATGCTACCAAAGCCAAAACAACATCCACTCATCCGAGTTACTCACTGAAGAAAGTTTGGTTTGGCAAGATCAGCTCGTGACGAATCCATGCTGGTATTTTTGTACTCTACTGATTACAAAATGACTGGTAAACAATTTGCTCCATTATCTTCCTGGATATCTAAATTAGGCTTATTGACCTTTAGTCAATAATGAGATGTATGATGGCTCATTTTTACCTCATTACACTACTTCTTTCCTCTTGTGAGTGACTGAGAAATCAGTTCTTGTGGTATGGGCTACGATGGAAGGGAATAGATTTCTAGACCCATTACTTATTACTTTTTTAGGACTGGGGGGAACGGGTCTACCCATTTCCTTAATGATAACAACACTGGGTTAGCTATTGCATTATCATCATTCTTACTTGGACCTGTGCTAATTATTTGAAGGTGCAGTAAGTCACGTTCTAGCACTCACATCTATGTCCTGGAATTGCTTAATTTACTAGTAGAGATGTACCGAAATGAGAGGGCAGTATATCATGGAGGGAAAATGTGGTGAAGGTGAACGAGAAAAAAAGCAACCCAAACAATAAGTACTTTGGATTGTGAAACCAGGCTTTTAACTTAAGCTCCTCTTTCATATGAGAAGAAATGCCTTTGAAATGAATGAGTCAGAAATGTGGGTTTGTGCTGGTTTTGGCTGCGATAGAGTTAATTTTCTTCATAGAAGCTAGTATGGGGCTATGTTTTGGATCTGTGCTGAAAAGAGTGTTGATAATACAGGGATGTTTTAGTTACTGCTGAGCAGTGCTTACACAGAGTCAAGGCCTTTTCTGCTTCTTACCCCA